CCCACCCACGTGCCCGCTGACCGGCTCCGTTCTCATTGGAGGGGGCGCACGCCAGCCAAGGCGGCCGCGACCAACCCGACGGCAGCTGGGCCTCGGATTGACAAGGGAGCCTCAGGGCCCGCCCGACGACCGCACAGAGAGGAGCTAGTATTGGCTTGCGGGGCCAGCCCGAGGCGCGGACAGGCTGGGGCGGGTGCCAATCACTGCCCGCACGCTCCGGGCCCCGCCCTGGTTATCAGGCGGCGGCTGAGTACGTGAGACCTAGCACAGCATCAGCACCGGCCGGGAACGTGCAGGCTGCAGGTTCGAAGCCCGTAGCCGGAATGTGGGCGTAGCGTTCCCCCATTTGCAAAGTTCCAAGCTAAAAGACGTAGCGATCCGTTTTGCAAAGGAGGAGAACCGAAAACAGGAGAAACATAGAGTAAAGCAGCAAGAGCCTCCACCCCGCCCCCGCAGGTCTATTTCCATCACAATCAACAAACCTTTGCAAAGGGGCAAGGCCTTCCGAATAAAGTTAGGGTCCCTCTCCCCAAGTTCCCTAAAATGGCAGAGAATGAGCTTTGGTCCTTTCTGACCTGGGTTCAAAGCTCATCCAGGCCCCATGCCTCACTGTGGTTGGCCTCCAACAAAGTAACCTCGCTGAGTCTGTTTCCAACTGTGCAATGGATATGATGCTAGTAGCCACACCCCGTCTACCAGCCTTTGAGAATGTTGCAAGGATTAAGTGGGATGAGGCACGGAGAAAGATTTGACCCTGTGACTTCACAAAATGAGCATTGTGTACTGGGCCACGCAGAGGCGTTGGCATGCCCCCATTTGGACGGGCAGGAGTGTAAATTGGACAATTTGACATTTTCTAACAACATTCTAAGTGCATCCACCCTATAACCCAGCCAGCAGTTCTTCCTGGAGGTGATGTACCCAAAGAAAAGGTCTGGAGCTTACACAATTCAAGAATGCCGGCAGCAGGGCTGTCTGCAACTGTTTCCAATGTTTTGCCCTAAATATCCATCAGCGGGGGATTAGAGAAGTAACTTAATAGCAATCAGTACTCTGGAATACTTACTATGTAGCAATTGAAAAGGAGGCCAGGCCCCGTGCTGTGGCTCAGGCGTGGTGGCTCACACCTGTAATCCCAGCACTTTGGGAGACAGCCAGGTGGATCACCTGAGGTCAGGAGTTCGAGACCAGCCTGGCGAAAAGGGCAAAACCCTGTCTCTACTGAAAAATACAAAATTAGCCAGGCATGGTGGCGCACGCCTGGAATCCCAGCTACTCCAGAGGCTGAGGCAGAGGTCACTGCACTTCAGCCTGGGCAACAGTGTGAGACTCGTCTCAAAAAAAAAAGAAAAGAAAAGGAGGCCGATCTGCATGCAATCATGAAATAGCTTCCAACTGCTGAGCTAGGGGCAGTAGTCCAGAATCCTGTACTCAGTAAAATGTATATGGAAACACACACAGAAACCGGCATGAGGGTTTTTTTGTTTTTTGTTTTTTTGAGACGGAGTCTCATGCTGTCACCCAGGCTGGAGTGCAGTGGCCAGATCTCAGCTCACTGCAAGCTCCGCTTCCCGGGTTTGCGCCATTCTCCTGCCTCAGCCTCCCAAGTAGCTGGGACTACAGGCACCCGCCACTTCGCCCGGCTATTTTTTGTATTTTTTAGTAGAGACGGGGTTTCACTGTGTTAGCCAGGATGGTCTCGATCTCCTGACCTCGTGATCCGCCTATCTCGGCCTCCCAAAGTGCTGGGATTACAGGCTTGAGCCACCGCGCCCGGCATTCAGCATGAGGTTTTTAAGAGCACACAAGCCTGTCAATGCACAGAAAAAGGTCCTCCTAACCTGAAGAAACTAACTTAATCCTTGGGGAGAGAAGGAAAGTTGCATGCTGGTAAAAAGAGAAGTCAAAGGAGAATTTAAGCAGCTCTGGGTATTTTAAATTCCTATGGGACCATATTCATATATTCCACATGGAGTTAAGATTTAATTTTAGTTCATGCCTGGAATCGCAGCACTTTGGAAGGCTGAGGCGGGCAGATCACTTGAGCCCAGGAGTTCGAGAACAGGCTAGGCAATATAGCAAGACCCCGTGTCTACAAAAAAAAAAAAATGCAAAAAGTCTCTGGGCGTGGTGACACATGCCTATGATCCCAGCTATTCGGGGGCTGAGATGAAAGGATCACCTGAGCCCAAGGAGGTGGAGGCTGCAGTGAGCCGTTGATTACACCACTGCACTCCAACCTGGGTGACAGAGTCAAACTCCATCTCAAAATAAAAAGTAAAAATAAAATTAAAAGACAGCCTGGGTGTAGTGGCTCACACCTGTAATCCCAGCCCTTTGGGAGGCCAAGGTGGGAGGATCACTTGATCCCAGAAGTTTCAGGCCAGTCTGGGCAACATAGCGAGACCTCTTCTCTACTAAAAATTTAAAAAATGAGTCGATGGTGGGGGCACATGCCTGTGGTCCCAGCTACTTTGGGGGCCGAGGAGGATCACTTGAGCCCGGAAGGTCGAGGCTGCAGTGAGCCATGATCACACCACTGCACTCCTGGGTGACAGAATGAGGCCCTGTCTCAAGAAAAAAAAAAAAAAAAAAAAAGTGCAATCATGCAGGGAAGGAGTCCCCACCCCACATACATAGGGCTTTTTGTTCTACTTCCAAGTATATTCTGTAAGACAGTGGGGGTGTTTGGATTTCACAGACAATACAAATGTTTTTAACCAAGTCACCCAAATGGGTTCTCCACTTTATTTTGCGTAGACAAAGTTTTAATGCCATCTATTATGAGAAACACTTAACACTAACAATCATAGAATCTAGGTGGTGGGTCTCCTTGAGGGTTCACCATCCGATTCTTTCCAAGTTTTGGAAACCTTGCATATTAAAATGTTAAAAACACACTAGAATTGCTGTCGGATAAGAAGTCTTCATCCTCCGAAAAGGAAGGAAATGCTCTTTAGAATATTTTAATGTACAGATTCATTTAGAGAACACTCACCTAATTGCTCTGGTTTTCTTCCATTCTTTGCAGTCAGATGCAAATCTCACAAAGGACAGGGGCAGGGAATGCTTGGGGACCTCCCCCTAAACAAGACCAGGAGGCTTCACTTGGCTTTCAGACATCAAGGAATCCCCAATTAGCAGGCCCAGTGCTCAATCTCCGACTGGTCTCCATCAATCTTTCTAGACAGGCAAGGTGTGGAGCGCAGAAATGTTCAATGCTTTAATAGATTTCCCTCCCTCCTATGGGTTGGTCTGTTGCATTAACAAATTGAAATGGGAGGCCGGGTGCAGTGGCTGTAATCCTAGCACTTTCGGAGGCTGAGGCAGGAGGATCACTTGAGCCCGGGAGTTCAAGACCAGCCTGGCCAACATGGCAAAACCCCGTCTCTACAAAAAGTACAAAAATTGGCCAGGTGTGGTGGTGCATGCCGGTAGTCCCAAATACTCGAGAGAGAGGGGGAAGCCCAAGAATCGCTTGAATCCAGGAGGAGGAACCTGCAGTGAGCTGAGATTGTACCACTGCACTCCAGCCTGGGCCACGGAGACTGCCTTAAAAAAAAAAAAAAAAAAAGAGATGGGGCTCATGACTGTAATCTCAGCACTTTTAGGAGGCAGAGGTGGGAGGATCCCTTGAGCCCAAAAGGTTGAGGCTGCAGTGACCTATGATCATGCCACTGTACTCCAGCCTGGGCGACAAAGTGAGACTTTGTCTCTTAAAAATAGAAAACAATACAGGCCAGGTGCAGTGGCTCACGCCTGTAATCCCAGCACTTTGGAAGGCCAAGGAGGGCAGATCACTTGAGGTCAGGAGTTCGAGACCAACCCGGCCAACATGGCAAAACCCTGTCTCTACCAAAAATACAAAAAATTAGCCAGGCACGGTGGTGCGCACCTGTAATCCCAACTACTCAGGAGCCTGAGGCAGAAGAATCGCTTGAACCCAGGAGGTGGAGATTGCAGTGAGCCAAGATTGTGCCACTGCACTCCAGCCTGGGCAACAGAGCAAGACTACATCTTAAAACAAGTCAGAGGGGGATTATAGAAAGGTGGCCCATCTATCCAGGGGAATATTACTCAGCCATGAAAAGGAATAAAGCTCTGACACAGGCTACAATATGGATAAACCTTGAAAATTCCATGCTTAGTGACAGAGGCCAGACACAAAAGAATACTGTATAATTCCATTTATATGAAGTGTCCAGGGCAGGCAAATCCATAAGGACAGAGAGGATTCGTGGCTGGCAGGGGCTGGGGGAGGGACACAGGGTGTGACTACAAAAGGGTGCGAGGTTTCTTTTTGTGTGGATGGAAAAGTTCTGTAATTAGATGGTGGTGATGGCTGCGTAACTGTATCGACTACACTAAAACCACTAAGCTGGCCGGGCGTGGTGGCTCACACTTGTAATCCCAACACTTTGGGAGGCTGAGGCAGGTGGATCACCTGAGGTCGGGAGTTCGAGACCAGCCTGACCAACCTGGTGAAATCCCATCTCTACTAAAAATACGAAAATTAGCTGGGCATGGTGGTACACACCTACATTCCCAGCTACTTGGGAGGCTGAGGCAGAAGAATCGCTTGAACCTGGGAGGGGGAGATTGCAGTACAAAGAGATCTTGCCACGGCACTCCAGCCTGGGTGACAGAGCGAGACTGTCTCAAAAACACCACAGTAGGCCAGATGTGGTGGCTCACGCCTGTAACCCCAGCACTTTAGGAGGCCGAGGCGGGCGGATTACGAGGTCAGGAGATAGAGACCATCCTGGCTAACACAGTGAAACCCCATCTCTACTAAAGAATACAAAAAATTAGCCGGGCATAGTGGTGAGCACCTATAGTCCCAGCTACTCGGGAGGCTGAGGCAGGAGAACGGCGTGAACCCAGGAAGCGGAGGTTGCAGTGAGCCAAGATTGTGCCACTGTACTCCAGGCTGGGCGACAGAGCAAGACTCCATCT